CATTTTAGTTCGACGAGGATGGTAAAATAAATTCATCGAAACGTGCTACTGAGGTCATCGTTAATCAAGCGTTTATTCTTAAAAGTTATTGCGCCGGGGAATTTTTATACATTTCGATCGCATATCGCGTAGAATTGATTGCTCTTCTCGAAGCGTCAGAGGCGGACTGGCCGAAACTCCTCGGCTACAAACAAACGCACGTATATGTATATACCTATACAGCAAATCGGGAGGGCACAATGTACATGACGTAAGCGTATTTTACTTGGCGGTCTAACTTTATAGGTTATATTATACAAACAATTAATACCACATACGTCTATGGACACGGACAACGATATAGCCAATATGAGTGAATGGAGCATCCGACAAGTAAGAACTAATCTCTCGCGAGCTTACAGGGGAGATCGAAACCTTAGAGTTTTCATATTTTCTTTCTCAAATGTCTCGGAAATAAGGGACTTCAAACGGGATACAAGCATTACAGACTGTTCTGAAGAGTATTTAGAGTTAACTTTTTTGTTATTAGAGATACAAAGGTAAACAAAAAAAAAACAAAATGTATGGTTAGTAGCCAAGCTTTTTTCCTAGTGACATATAAAACAAAACACTATCAACTTTCTGACATATAAGCCTAGATCATATTTGGAACATCCTGTATATTATATATGTGTTTAATAGAATATCTTATTTCGATAACAATGATGTGAAACACTTTATATTTTAGCCACTCGTTTTTGACAAATCGTGTAAAATAGGAAATTTTTATATAATGTCAGAGTGCCGTGACTGACTGCAAATTAATGTAGAACACAAAAACACGCTAAAAATGACAAGACACAATAAACTAGACCACCATTTTCCTGAACACATTTCTTATACACTCCAATTGTATGATATCTTGCATTTAGTAACGTTTCCGGATTGTCTCTTAACTGATTGAATGCCTTTGAAACCCTTTGCCAAGGTTCCACGACATTGTTGCAAGGAGTTCTGTGCACGTGATTTTTTTATGTGCCCCCAAAAGAAAAAATCCATTAAAGTCAAGTCGGGGCTGTTGACTGGTCAATCCATGGTTCCGCCGTTCCTTGTCCAACCCGTGGGATATTCCATGCTAAGAAATTTTTTAACTTGCACAACCTTGTAAGGAGGTGCACCATAAATCTTCTATATATTATTCTATTTGGTCCTCTAAGAGTTGAACGTAATGATATCCAGTTAACTTTTCATCTATAAATATCGGACCCAAAATGTTCCCATCTATGACGTCACGCCATGCATTAATTCATTGGTACCCCTGGGTTTTTATTTAGTGTATTTGTCCAGGATTATTTAAAGACCAAAATCACGTATTTTGTTTATTACAACCCTTTCTTGTAGTGATCGAACTTTCATCAGTCCATAAAATGTTTTTCAAAAAATTATTATTCCCATTATGTCTATTTAAAAAACCTAAACAAAACTGAAGTTTGTCATTTATATTCTTTCAAAACTGAGTGGATTGATTCCCGGGAAATACCTCTCTCTTCATATACTCTAGTAATAGAAGAAACTGGATGTGCTTCATGGAATCCTAATAAGTTTGCCTTTTTTTCTTTTCTTATCTTTATTTAAAACATTATGATTCCGGCATACCTTTTTAGCACTTAATACGTTCCCTTTTTTTTTGTTTTTTTCTTTATTTTGATATCTCTAAAAACAAAAAAGCTACAGCCAATTAAAATGTTTATGATTTATTATGATTCCGGCATACCTTTTTAGCACTTAATACGTTCCTTTTTTTTTGTTTTTTTCTTTATTTTGATATCTCTAAAAACAAAAAAGCTACAGCCAATTAAAATGTTATCAAGATAAATTGAACGCAAGGTACAAGGCAATGTTTCACTAAAGGTTTTGTTTGCGTGGACGCAATAGTTTTCGGTGCTTCCGCCTATACTTCCCTAAATGTCTAGCTGATTAATGCAAGACAGCCACTAACGATCACGATTATACTACTTGGGAATAAGAGAGACAGAATCAGCTGTACTTGGCATTTATTAATTTAATTATTGCTACATACTCAGAGATGTATTCATGTATTTTCTAAGTAATACTAGAACAGTGTGTTTCTTAATCACATGTGAATATTTAAGTAGGTGAATTTACATGAAAAAATTATGATTATTAAATAAACTATTGTGCGAAAGATCTGTCCATTCAATAAAAATTAAAACAATGCCAAAAAATACCAATGTGAACACTTCATTTAGATCAGCCTGTATAAGACAAAAACATTAAATGTGTAAACTTTTTGATTCCAACTCTTCAATTGAGAAAATCTGCAATTGCAAATTGCAATGCTAACATAACTAATATTTTGAAACTCCTATAGGCGTATGTGCATGTAAAAGACTACTGTATCCAGAGTAAGAACCCAGAATGATATCCAGAAGTCTGATACATCTGTTACAAGTAGTCCTGTAAATGACCATTCGGTCGCTTCTATAAACGAGCTTAGTCGATACTTAGCGGACGTCTTCTAGGTGTCGCAACTATACTATAGGCGGACTTAACCTTACATTAAAACGCGAACGAAAGAAAACCGTATTTTATTCGTAAAAGCAAAATGTAAGGTTACACCGAGGGACTACTACACTATCCGTTTTGTCGTATTATCGTTACCGCTTTCTGACCCCGTCTCCGGGGGTTGCAGGCTGCTGCGCAACGAACTGAGCGAGAGCCACAAACATCCCTGGCAAAGTCAAAAATCACCCTTAGCCCGGTGCTGCAACCAAAGCACCGAAAAAACGAAAGTTCGTTTCTGGCATGGACAATGTTCTAAGCTAACACTTGTTCCGTGTCACCGGATCACATGTATAAAATGTTGATGTAAACGAAAACCATAAACCAGAAAAGCGAACCAAACAAACAAAGCGAGACAGAGAAACAACGCAAAGACTGAAAAAATAATAATAAATAACGGCGAATAGGTGTGTGTTTTCCAAATCTACGGCGATGTTTCCCTAGGAGGGCGCAATATTTACCTATGTGGTTTTTATGTTCGCTACAAAATACTAAACTGGCTAAAACGACATTCCAATCAAAAATAATCTAAAACAGATGATTGTAACTGTCATTGGTGCCTTCAAAAAATCGCTATACGTAAAATTCGCAGGCACATTTCTAAAAAAAACGAGAAATTTTCGGAGGATACGCATCAAAAAGCGACCGAAATCATTAACCACGATCGGCCCTGGTTGTTAGGTTTCGAACGTTTCAGAAAAGGTGGGACATACCCCACATTCATCAAAATAAAACGGAACGTAAATTTTTGTCACTAACACTGCTATGATATCTTTCCGCCCTACTGCTGTCAAATAGTTGAACAGGCTCGATAAAAGGGTTGGTGTGGATACTTATTGACTATATTGATAAGAGACGATAAGACGAGTTAACTATTTAGCACTTGGTAATCACAATAAAAAGTAACAAATAAGAAGTAACGTTTCCTAGAGAGCTACACATAACATTTTGTAAATACGTTAGGAGCAATTTTAATATAACAACAGCTTGTCCCAGCAGGTGGTCTTGATCGTTCAAATTACACCTTTTTATGAAAACGCATTTAAATATGTTGATAATTGCATAAATCAAAATTAAATTTACCCTTTTAATGCTTTGCGCAGGAATCTTATCTCATTGAGACAAAGATCCAGAAACGTCAAAGAATAAAACCAGCTTTTCTCACGAATAACCTATATGATTAGAAAAATTAACCTGTGGATCTAATACATTTCTCAAATACTAAACTTCCGAAACAAAATTAATTATAACGTTAATTTAACATTAATCCAGACTCAGAATATTTCCTAGAATTTTTTTTATCTCCTATGAGCATACATTTAGCTTTCACTGAATATAATAATTTTAACTTTTTTGACAAGTCCAATAATTAAATGATGATCTGCGGAGTGTTTCGCGGATGATGGTACCTTATGGGCGTTTCGATTCTGCAATCCAAAATATAAAATAAAAATGTTATCTGTCAAACTTTTTTTTTGAATTGAATGTAGATGTTAGGGTCTTTTGTCACAAATTTTGAAATATCGCGGATTTTAGATAATATTGGACGCCACGAAGTCAATAACTATAGTTTCAAAAATCATATTTGCCATGAAAACAAATTTAGTTATTTTTTCAAATATAGCAAAAGAGTTTGTTTGTATTCTTTTCTATTGTGCAATATTGCTAATTATTGCATTTTCAGTTAAATATTTTTTCATTTATTAACAACATATGACTCAGCTACTACTTATATCAAAAAACGTCTACTAAAACATTGTCCTTAGTATTCTAAATCAAAAACATTTTCAAAAACAATAAAATTAAATCACGACAAAATCAAAAATCCGGAGGCCACAAATTTATGTCCGACAAACAGGTAAACCATTTAAGAAATGCATCGACGAACATAAAAGAGCCTATATTTAATATTCGAATCTATGTCTATATATCTTAATATCCCGTTAAATTTATAACCCTTTGATGCCGAAGCAGCTGTCATATACCAATAAATAACCGGAAATCTGAACATTTTGTGTTCTAATTTAATCGCGTTGAATAGATTTTCATCAAGTAAAAATCACCTCAGTTCAATTCTCAATTGTTTTATATTCCCCTTTTTTCCTACACATGCAGAAATTCTGATATATTTTCCACAAATTCTGGCTTATTCCTCAAAAAGATGTCTGAGTAAACCAAAATGTGTATTTTATTTTTAGAGGGCTTTCAGCGCTTTCGTAGTTAACCACCATTAACTTAGTGGTATTTTTAATTTCCTTTCGAAAAAAGTGAACGGCTGCTAAAGTTAAAAATGAAAAACGTTATTCGCGTCCAGAGTATCTGACAGTGCTTGAATCGCGTTCGAAACCTACTCAACCACACGCCGATCCAACTTCAAAATTAGTAAAAAAAATACCCCGAACACCACAGGGTCCCAACGACCCAAATTTAAGACTTACTGAAACGCCTCATCAGATTGCCGGTGAACGAGGGCTGCGGACTGATCATCTGATCCTCCTTGTCGCGCAGGTCTACGCAGTTCTGAGCCTCACCCTTCGGAAATTTCGTGTTAGGCACTAGGAGACCTCTCTGGTCTTTGGCCGGTTTCTTTTTAATCCCCCGCGGGGGTTTGATGGGCGCTTCCTCATCCGGCAACTCTAAATTATCCGGACGTATCGCGAAGCTCATTTTTCTATCGAAAAACGTCTCGACCGGTTCGTCGATATCCGGCGACAACTGAGCCTGATAATCGTGATAATACCGTTCGTTTGCGAGCTTCACGCTCGTCTGATCTATGACGGTATTCTCCTCGGAATCGGGAGAGGAAAAGTTCTCCTCCTCCAGATTGTCGATGACCTCTTGGCCGGGTAACACGCCCGAATAAAACACGCTGTGGCGTTTCTCCTTGAGCGGGTTTTTTAACTTGATGTCGACTTTGCTCAATTGCCGTTTGAGGCCCTTCCATGTAGAAGATTTGCGTCTCATCGCCGTCGCCACAGGAATCGGTATGGATTCCCGACTATCCTCTTCGAACGCTTCCTGCGCCTGTTCGATTGGGGTGGGGCAAGGGGCAAAATGAAATGGCGACTCGGGCGAGCGTCCCATCTAGTAAGCATGCGAGTTAGGGTTACCTAGAGTCGTGTGGCAGAACGAAATATCTCGGCGACAAACGCAAGTGTGACCTTACCATAAGAGATTAATTAAGATTCCGAAGTCGATATCTCCAAATATCAGTTTTAAAACAAGACACGTATTTTTGAAAAATAAAAAAACAACTTACATAAATTGGAAACATATCAACTCAAACGCGAGTTATGAGCCTACATTTAGCTTGCTCATCGTAATAAGACTATCCGTTTGTGTCTCTAAAAGTAACTATTCAGCATCTTATGACGTTACACGTTATTGTTCGTATTGTGTGTATTTTGCTTTTGTCGTAGAGAACTTGCTTCTTGTATCGAAGTGTTCGCGTTTTTTACAACAATAAATTACTTTAATCAAGTTAAAGTTTTTTAAAAAACTGCTTCTTTGGTAAACAAGCTTAACTCGACAACTGATACAAATTGAGATCTGTAAAAGACGAAATAAGAAATATCGCAAAAAATTTTTCTTTTGTTTGGATAATCAATCCTTACCAAAACTCAATTTCAAGCATTCCGAAAACTCGTTTTCGTTAGAATATTTGTAATACTAGAGTATTGTCACGTCAAAAACTGCCTATTAAAGTCAAACCGATATAGTCACAATCTGTTACGTTTTAGTGGATTTGAATCGATCGCACTATATTTTATTTATAATTTAACAACACCATTTTGGATTTCAAAAGAATTGTATCAGTGGTCCAACAGTAATCCTTGGATTGAGTTCGACAAATATGGATATAAAGTGTGCTATTTGGGTACTACCAAATATATTGAGAAATATTTCAGGTAGGTAATGAACACATATACTCCTAATGAATACTTCATTCAGTTCAACTCAAAATATACATTAAGGAACAAAGAAACTTCCACAAGCTACGGTAATACTATTTACAAATCTTCTGGATTATGCCAAAAGAAGAAACAGCTAATTCAACCTAATTCAATCTAGACAACTGACTATCAAGAAAAAATTCAAGATAAGCTCACAAACGGATCCCATAGTTAAAAAGTATCCTACGTCATCTATGCAACGCAATCCTTGTGAAAATCTGTCATCATTTCAGGGACCCGACCGCCTATCGTTAGCCCCTTTGGTCCCTCGACATAATCTCTAGTAAAATATCTGGCTTCTATATTAAAACCAATACACCTGCAGGGTATGCTGTAAACACCTGCCGTCTCGAGATGATTTTATCTTTTACCGATGTTGGGAGACTTTAGGATATAGAAAGAATATCTTATATTTTTTCAGAAATTTTGTTATTTCAACGGCGATTAAAGCGTGTTCGCTTGCTAAATCCCCTGGATTTCTCACTATGAAACCCAGCATTATTAGCGCATCTCCACATGCTCAATGTGGTTTCCAGTTTCAGTTTTGTGTCCAATGTTACATCCAAGTCTTTCAAGTGCCTACTCTTACTGATCTAATACTTTCTGTCAGGTGGTAATTAAAAGTTATATTTGAAAACAACATAGAATATATATGGAGGAGTGAGTTATTGGAAGCACACCAAGAAGCTCCCAAATCATTTAGCAGAGATTCACGGAGATACACATTATATTTCGTTTAAGTGTTACGAATTTTGTGACAAACGGGGGGTCATTTACGGAGTTGCTTTGTGCAAGTGATTTTTATGGTGTATTTTTTAATTGACCATCTGATATCCTCATAAGGGAAATTGTTTGATAGAAGAACTGAGTTGAAATGTGTTATAATTCTTGCTTTATGATTCAGGCTGGGGCTCTGAACCCTAAGGAACTGAGAGCGGATTATTTTTGACGGGCTTTTTATAAACAAACCCAAGGTTAATGGTTTTTGATTAATAAAAATGTCTAGAAAGGAAAAAGTGTTGTTATCTTCTAATTCGATTGCGAGCTTGACATTTGTGTGTACAAGAGTCTACACAGTGCAGCAATATCTAGATATCTGTTCAACAGTTTCGGTTTTATATGGAATTTATCAATGGTTAGTTCTGGTTAGGTTAGGTAAATTTATCCGCTACCTGTGAAGTATGTTTCAGATAGACATTTTTCGATTAAAATGCGGTCTGCATGGAGGTTTTCAGTTTGAAAGATGCTTAGTTTTTCAGGAAAACTAACTAGTTGTCTGAATCTAACTTAATACCTTTTAGTTTCTATACAAGAGGAAAATAATTAAGTACAAAGTTGGAACTCTGTTCTGTGAAAGAAAAAAATCTGGCATCAACTTCAAATAATTTCCATATTAGAGATATTGAGCGTTACACTACAAAATGTTTTTCACAATAACCTGAAAATTAGTCCGAAAGGAACTACACATTTACCACTGCAGTCCTTTCTTACATTGAAAATATAACTGTTCTTAAGTTCTAAAGAAATGGAATGTCGAAATCAGATTTACCACTTCATCCATCAAAGATAAACTTCCCTTTGGGACACCAGAAGTGTACAGCATTCCATCGATATGTGACATTGGAGAAACAGGCCGTAGAATAGCATTAAGACGACGACAATCATTATTTAAATACAACCAAACAGTTTTTACTTTTCACTAATATAGGAATCAGCCATTTGAGAAAAGATTTGTAAATAACATTATCCTAGCCTGTCACTTTATATATTTGGATTTAGTTAGAAAATTTAAGTAAGATAAGTCTCAATTTAATCAAAACAATCGCAAAGCCAGTACCGGAATTACCATTAATCATGGACCTGAGGCTTAAAAGAGTCAGTCTACTTTAAAACACGTTGCTTGCTAAATTTTCAGGTCTGTAATGTCATTGGACTGAAGCAAGCATTTGAATGATCAGATCAGATAACAACAGAATTTGAATTGCTCTGCCAAGACTCTCTTTACGTCCGACGCTTATAGATATTTTGTTCTGCTGTCAAAAATTACCTCCAAAATCGGAACTACGGGGAACGTGGTGCAGCAAATAATGATTAACCAGCAAAAATAGGAAAAAAACCGCACAAGACATTATTTCGCAGTTGTAAATTACGTTCGTCCGCATAAAGCCGCCGCCTGGGGCGAAACACGACTTGCCTAAGTAACGCGAAGACAAAAAAATGCCGCTAAAGTTGAAACGAAAGTTCGTTTACTTGGCAATGCGCGTACGTTGCGGAAAGTGAAACCGGACCGCTTTAAGATTGAGGAGACGGAATACGTTCTTAAAATTCTTTGTCCTTTGCCGTTATACGGGGTGTCCAGAAATTAGTGGCCCAAACTATGATAGCATATTCTACTCTTCCTAGACTTCTATAAAGAATGGACCTGTAAATCCCTTTTTATTAATGTTTTCGAAACAGGTTGAGAGAAAATTTGGGAATTTCAGCGTTTTGGTAATTTTGGTGTGCTGAATCTGATTCTAAAATTATAAACGTCAAATTGTGGTTCGATTTCCAAGGTTGTAGAAAAATCCATTTACAAAATACTGTTGAATATTATTGAAAAGGCAATATACTTACAACCCATCGGTACGGTTTTAAACTTAAAAAATGTTGACATTCTTTTGAAAAAGCAAAACGAGTACGGGGTAAGAGGAATAGGGAATAATCTTTTACAATGGTGTTTAATTTAGAAAAGATTTCGTTAGCACATCAAGCAACAAGAAAACTTATACCTCAAATGAGATCTCAACATACCAAGGCGTACCGCAGGGGTATGTGCATAGCCCCCGCTCTTGCTGCTTTATGTAATCGCTTTTTCAGATGGTAACGTGGTGAGACCAGCCTAACTTAAGGCTTGAATTTAGAAAAAACGGTACTATTAACTTTTCATAAATTAAAATGTAATGAATCCTTATATATTATATAACCCAGGGGCCAATACCGACTGCTGAAAGAGTAAACTAGATCGAACGCTAAACTGAGAAAATGCGACTAAATGACTGGAATCAAAATTAAATGGAGGTTGAGAGATAGACTATCGCGTGAAGTTTAATATAATGCAATTGTGCAGTCCTCAAAACGTTACGCAATACATTTCTGGGGATTCTCCTCTTTAGCAAATCTGGAATTCGTAGTTCAAAGGTGCAATATGGGATGTATTAATAACTTTCATGCTTACCATATTTTTTTCTAAGATGTAATTAGAGCCCTTTCTATGTATTATCTGTTTTGGTTACACTTAGTTAAAAAATCCATAATAATTATTTCAAAAAACTATGGCCTGTATGTCAATATGCACATAAATATTAGAAATAGAAAAAACCTGCGGATTTTAGCTTATAACTCTGCTTTCTTTAAAAAGTGCCCTACTAGCAGTCCATAAAAGCTTACGGAATTCTACCTACTAGCATTCGGAACATAAATGACTGTAATAAATTTTTAAAAGATGGTCACATATTTGAAACTCAAATGGTTTAGTTTTAATTTCGATTTTTCATCTAACTGTATTTATTTCTATCTGGATGTACATCTGCATTTATATTTAAATCTTAATTATTATTTTTATATCTAAATTCTATACATTATAATATTAATGAATTAACTAAATAGGGATTAAATATTTCGATGTTATCTGTGTGATTGTGTATCATCTTTTTAGACAATGAAGGAAAAGAAATAAAATAAATAAAAGAAAAATTACTGATTTAAATAAGTTTTCAAATACATTTTCATTCATTTATTTTCATTTCATTTAATTTCCAGCAATATCAATTCGCCTCACTAACTCTTCTGGACTATGTACTGGGTGATCTAATATTTTTTCTTCAGATTATAGAAAAAAATGTTTAATAGACAAGTTGTAAGGTATAACTAAAAGTTTTCTTCAGTATTATATTTAGGTATACAGGGGGATAAAAAACTGTAGATATAAACTTTTTTTCTTTTGGTGGATCCTATCTCCTTACATGAGAGAGCCCTTTAAATGCTGACTTCAAAAATATTTTATTATGCAAATTTTTGATATTTAACAGAAAATGCCAAAATCTAAACTCTCACTAAAGCAAAATATTATACATATTCTAAGCCTAAGCAGAGTATTACATAAAAACAGAATGTTTCCAACAAAATAAAAAAAAATCAAAGTGGTTCCTTAATTTAATTTAATTAATTTAATTCTTTTCATTTTAATGTAATTCTTCATAATCACATTCTCAACAATTTTTGCAAATTCATTAATAACACTAATAGGACAATAATTATCACTTGAAAGTTAGTTATTCCAACAAAACCTTGAATTGAAATTACTCCAGAAATGTGAGTTGTGGGTATGAAAAAATCTATTTGTTACCTCGTCAGAACATAAAATTTTCGCAGAATCCTTTCTTCTTCGTAAGAATTCTTTGGTAGTAATTTATAAAAAAATGTCGATATGAAGAGACTGAAACTTCCTATCGTTATCAATCAAGTGCACCTTATGCTCGTGAATTTTGGATGAATAAATAATGTAAATGTAAAACAGTGTATTTTTAAAATCAATTTTCCACGATATCAATGAAGTGCATTTTTTCCCGCAACAGAACACATTTTTTCCGATTTTATAAGAAAAAAGTCTAAAGTAAACCTATAAAAAATTTATTGCAACTTATACCCCTCAAAAATTACGCCCCTGGAAAAATTTGACATGAACCTGATTCTACAAAATTAGTAAAAAGCAAAAATTTCCAAACCTGTTTCGGAAATATTAATAAAAAACATAATCAGGTCCATTGCTTGTAGTGCCTGTGGCTCCGTTTGTTTCGGCATATGTTTGTATAGAACAGTGGACGTAGAATATGAAGGTTATAGTTCGACAGACTAATTTTGGAACATTCTGTATATGAGCGCATAGCACTTGTTAATCTCACTGCCGAGCACTGAATAGCGCATATGTGCATTTGAATAGTGATTGGGGACTTTTTACACCTCCTAACATTTCGTATGACGTTAACATTAAGTTAAAATAGCAGCTTAACTTTATTTTTCGTTATTTTATGAAAAATTAATATCATTTCAAGAAAAACACAGAGAACTCGTTAAATCTTGTTTTTTTTTAAGACAATTTAATTTTGAGTCGAAAATGGCTTTTTATTCGACATCTCTCGTTTAAGCACTTCTCACTGCTATAAATCTGTTGATTGATAGAATAAAGAAGTTGAATTTAAATGATCCTCTAGGGATCTTATAGGAAAAGTTTTCTATCGAAATTACGTCTTCCACATTGAATTTAAGAAAAATATTATTCTATCATTTCGATTATTTGGCAAAATGTTTGTCCTGCATTTTAGAATAAAAAAAGAAACTAGTAGCACTTAGAAGGTGAGCGTTCTATTAGTCTGAAATATTTTCAAAATTTTACTTATCAGTATGCTTTAAACTTAATTAAAGGCAAACTCATTTCGCAGTATTTAGCTTTTGACCTTTATTTAAGTTTTTTTTTATTTTAAGTTAGGGAAAATGTTGTTTCTAATCCAATGCCGAAAAATGAGGCGCAAAAAGTCACAATACGCAATTTCTTAACGTTGCTAAACAAATCTTGTCCTTTTCATTCCATATACATTAATTACAAATATTACCTTTGAATTCTCCGATTGCTGTAGCTTCACATGTGAGTTTCTGTACAATACGGACTAAAGCGCAGACAAAGGATTTACCATTCACGAAAAAACCTTTAAGCCAACTTCTGCAGAGGTTTTTTTTTTAAACAAAACATTGCAAAAAAAGATATTTGACGGCGAACGAATTGATTTTGTACATTATGGCATTTTAAATATAATAACGTTTTTGATTAAAAAAATTCAAACCTGAAAATGATTTGATGAATTGTTCTTTAAACACATTCCTTAAAATCGAATAGGTTATTTGGCAAATTAATTTTATAACCTCATTCAGTCTCTTCGGTGACGTCATAACACAGTAAATAAACCCCAAACGTCAATCGAAGGGTTGGTATTTATCTGTTTATTTTATTCCTTACTTACAAATAATCACGAGGATAAAACAGAATACAACTGCCTCGGTTAGTCGCAAACTCAAAACCCCAACCCCAACGACCGCCACTAAAATCTTTATCCGCAGCTCACCTGGTCAATACTGGGACTCCTCGGTTGCCGGTCAAAGTCCTGCGGGATGCACTCGGTCGCCACCTGGTTCTTTTTGGGACTCCTCGGTACCCTCGAGTACGGATCCTGGGCGCCGTACAGGTCCGGACTACCCACGTTCAGCAGGCAAACCCGCTGTTCAATGTCCACGATCACCAAGCCCGCCTCGTTACCGTACGCCATCCTTGAAAACCATCAAGCGTTGTGCAAACGTTCGCGGGCCGCGTTTAAAAGTAGTGTTTTAAGGATAGATATCGGATATAAAATATTACGACATTGTTATTATGATACAATTTATTAAAATAAGATACCTAAATAGTGAAATTTGGAATTATTATAAACTATGAACGTTAAATAGCGACACCTATAACCCTCAACTTCTGGGTTCCTCTTGCGTCGGATGTTCATTAATCGAATTGGCTGACGTTTTGCCAAACAACCTGTTGGCTTCTTTAGAGCTTGACTAAAACTGCCTCGCATTCGACTCTGTATCTGCTTATATAATGTTTGAGGAGGGCGGAGCTAAAAGAACGGGGATGAACATTGTCTCCGATGACTAATTCCCATATTAGTGAAAGGAAAAGGCCTGAGTCGTTAACATTGTTTGGCTGCTAACAGATTCTTATATGTTCTAGGATTTTTCGTTGGTAGAAGAATTGATATTTTTCATCCGGTCTCTCCAATGTATTCCTTGACGCATATGAATGGAATGCTCTAACCTCTTTTTTTATTCGTCATCCGAGACAATGTTCATGCCCCTCTTTTAGCTCCGCCCTCCTCAGAGGTACAGCAGGTACAGAGTCGAATGCGAGGCACTTTCAGGTAGGCCCTGAAGAAGCCAACAGGTTGTTTGACAAAACGTCAGAAGTTTCTTTGAAATGTTATCGTTAGTCAACCTTGTATGATGTTTTGATTTATTAACTGAATAGAAATGTTCGCATTTGTAAGTACTATCAAACGCACTAATCAATCTTGTGAATTTTCTAGGCAGCTGAAAACGGTCTACTTCGAAACATTTTTCATAGAAATTATATAGCAAACTGAGATATCGGTGCTCTCGTCTAATGATGCAATGGAAAATAATTCAAAACCAGCAATACGATTGGTCAATGTTGTTTTTATAACATTCGCTTTTATTTATATACGTCGTCACAAACTAATTTTCCAAATTCATTTTCTTTTCCAGGACACACTGTAAAAATTCTAACATACACTCTTTGGTTTCAATGACCAATTTTAAACTAACAATAAAACTAGCTTTCTTATCATTATCATGATGTGGACTTTGTTTATGAAACATCTGCTGCAGAAATGGAATCATTACACAGCAAACGAATAGGCTTATTATCGAGTAAAAATAAAAATAATTCTTCAGTACAATTTTGTTGAAACTGACGACCTAGTTTCTTAGTTTTCGCTTGATAAAAGAAATAATTAGTTAGTATGCACTCAAGATGGACACAAAGTCACACACACAAGTTATCAACTCAGTAGTTCAAAGGAAACTACTAAAATTGAACCAAAATCAATAAATAAATGATCTACAATCGTGTAGTGAGAAGCAATAATCTTTTGTGGCACTGCCACTCGACTTGATTACGTGATTATTAGTAAGTATTAATATTAAATCTTGTGCCGGGGGTTGCCCACGTGTGGTTTCGAGAAACACTTACAGTCCGTACGAGCTGTTGATTGTCAGGGCGGTTATGTGAGTGGGCGGTTCGCCGTTGTTCCACGGCGTCAGGCACACCAACTGCGCTTGAAACCCTGGCGATTTCTTCTGCAACCCCGTCTTCACTTTCAACGTCGGTCCCTCCTGTAAAATAACCTCCAGGTCAACGCCGCTTACCGATGTGATCGTGCTACATTTGCTACCTTTTTATTGTCAAAGTCGAGCATGTCCATCTTGGTACCTGAACCCGCGCTGCCGGGTGCCGAAAATTGACAGTCGGGCGATATTTCGTCTTCAACGACTTCGTAGACGATAGGAATTTCCAGTACCGTTACCTATACCCAGCGAAGAATCAATCAATCGAGCAATAAACCAATAAAAGACAAGCATTTTCAAGCATTTGTCAGTACCGACCTGTTCCATATATAATTACAATTATGCGTTTCTACCCGTGCCACTACCCTGGACCGATTGATTTATTGGTAAAAAATGCCCACTATCATATTCTTTTGTATCAGCCAAGACAGTGTGGGCTTGTTTGACAGACCGGACTATCTGATAGTTTGAACATAGGACACCACAAGGCCCATTTCCATTTTTGACCTATATAAACCATGATATGGCGATTGGTTATCTTGGCTGATCATGAGATGACGAGATGATATGGTTATTTATAATTGGTTCAGTTCAAACCAACTAATACTAAACACGGATAAGAAAAAATATTGTCTTTTCTCTTAGATATCTGGATGGGGACGTGCTTCGAAATGAAAAATTTCCGACGAACAACGTATAGAGAACTTCTTAAGAAAACTGTCCTCAACTATTTATGCCTGAAAAATTATCGTATGCTATACTTGTATGGGGTGATAGTGCACAACCAAGCTGAGTGTTTGCAGAGTTGTGACAGTTTTGCAGTACAATGCTGCTGACACACAATCGTCTATGGAACTGAATATACTGACTTTGCCATCTGTTTATATCTTTAATATCATCATATTATCATCATACACAATGCAAAAATAACATCAACCTACTTTTTTTTTAAATGAAGAAATCAATCCAACATTTTTTAGCAAACTGTCTCATGTTACTGGGATGATGACTAGGAGTATGACAATCAAACCTTTCGAAGAATCATCACAAAGCAGAAGATCAGTCATGTATTCGCTTAGATTATGAATACTGCATATTACAAACATCTTTTAAGGAGTTAAATTTTAACACCTACGACACAATTGCTCCTCACGGTAGAGAGTGTCGATAACAGAGTCCTTAAAATGGAAAATAATACAAGAAATAAAGCGAGTTTAGCCATCAGTGCGACATTGTTTGCATAATTGAAAGGAATCCTTGACATGGTCCATCGGATTGAAAGTCGGCTCACCTCCTCACTGCTCTCGCTCTTCTTATACGTAAACAGGATGACGTGGCTAGATGCGCCGGCGATACACATTTTCCTAGATTCGGGACACAAGGAAATCAAGTGAATGGCGAACGGATCGTCTTCCGCGTCTAGCGACCTCGTCTTGGGCTTCTCGAACACTTTGGTCGTTTTCAGCTTGTACAAGACCTGCAGCGTGCCAGCACTGGCGTCCCAGAACTTTATGCTGCCGTCTGCGTGACTGCAAGATCAGGTAACGATGAAATACTGGCAATGTAGATAATTATAGTTTGCAAATTAAAAATGATATCCCTTCTGATGGTCCCAGTCTTGCATGTTAATAGATAAATAGGTTTTTATTCTGAACTACAATTTAACAAAATACAAACAAAATTATAAACTAAACTAAAAAATAGAATAGATTGGCATTGACATTTCATCTTAAGTGGAGAAAAAGAAAACTATTTACATTAAATAATTAATAGAAAAATATAACAATTATGAATTAAACAAATAAGTTTGAATTAAGGACTTTTAGAGAGTTTTATTTTTATTTGTTTATTTTTTAATCCTAACTACTCTTGTGTAGTTGATAAACACAGTTCTGATAAAAGAGAGTCTTTTAAGGTTCTTTCAAACTGTGACAAAGTTTCCCGCTTCTGTTTTATGTCTAGGAATTCCGAACTTATGAAGGTATCTTAATTGGCGGCCATTTGGAGGCAAAATTTTGTTATACAGATAGCTCGGTTTTTGTTTAATACGATTTTATGAAACACTTAAGCTGCATTGAGAATTCTTCTCCGTTTCATATTCAACCACTTGATCTTATTACAATATAATTTATGAGAAATATGTTTTCTTCATCTGACACCGCAAATAAGTCTTAGCAATGAAATTTGCACTACCTAATTCTTCTTATATCTGAAGAATTTAAGCGGGGTATATACAACTCCGTACTTAAATCTTGACAACACTAAAGATTCGCAGACGATTTTTTTTTTACTTTAATATTGTCGAACCTTATACACGGTGTCCAGAAAGGGGGGGGGGGGTATTTATATCGGCGTTGTCAGAGGAACGGCGCGATTGGTGAGGGGGGATAGGATAGCATGCTTCGCCATTATTTGGAGATTCAGGAAACATGGAAGCGTACCTGGGAAATCATCGTGTTTTTTGCATACGCGCTTATTGTCGGTGATTCGATAGTGTCAGCTCAACGTTTATATCGTGCAGAATTTAATGTACGGAAGGCACCGAAATACGATACCATCCGAAAATGGATTCGAATGTTTGAGAATACCGGTTCGAGTGTGAAAATTCACCAACCAGGTCGCCCACGCTCTGTTCGAACCCAACAAGCGATTGAACAAATGAGAGTTTCAGTGAGTCAAAATTCTTCTCAATCAGTTCGTAAACGAGGTCAAGGCCTTAACATTAAAAAATCGTCGCTGCACACTACTTTGAAGAACGATTTACATCTTACAGCCTACAAAATTCAGCTGGTGCAGGAACTGAAACTTACCAACCATCCTCTTTGACTGAATTTTGCAAATAAAATGCTTCAACGCTTTCTAACGTTTGAAAACATCCTGTTTAGTGATGAAGCGAATTTTCACTTAAACAGGCACGTAAACAAAGAAAACTGCCGCTTCTGGTCCAACGAAAATCCGACAGAAAAACATGAACGACCACTACATAGTCCAAAGGTTATCCTGTGGACTGCCATGTCTGGGTCTGGCGTAATTAGGCCGTATTTTTTGAAGACCGACGAGGGCGACCACTTACGGTAATTAGTGAGCGGTATTGCGTCATGTCAAGGAACTTTTTGGCTCCACAATTACAGGAGTTTGAAGGTTTTAATGGGGAGACATGGTTTCAAAAAGATGGGGCGACTTGTCACACTTCAAACCAATCGCTTGCGGTTGTCACCGAGAAGCCCCGATCTGACACCCCTTGATTATTTCATGTGGGGATACCTTAAGCAGAAAGTTTACGCAAATAAACCACGAATTCTACTGCAACTGAAGCACAACATTAGCACCGAAATGGCCGCCATTTCCGGAGATATGTGTAGACGCGTGGTGGCTCATTTCTGATTTCGTTTAGAGGAATGCCAGCAAAGCGAGAGTCAACATTTGCACAACATACTCTTTACCAATTTATTTTCCAATATCTTCTGTAAAATTTAATATATATATATATATATATATATATATATATATATATATATATATATATATATATATATATATATATATATATATATATATATATATATATATATATATATATATATATATATATATATATATATATACCTTCATTATCAACTTTTATAAAAATGTCTTGTTCGCGGAGTTTTTTTATTTTTCTTTGTTAACAAAATCATTAAATTAGTTTTTTGGTATACATCTTGAGAGAATGGTTATTTAATCAATTAACAATTAACAATAGATATGTGCCTACTTCCCTGGTGAAAAAAATATATGAAATTCAGTATCATCTGTCTAACATGTTCTCTTTATACCTGTTCACAATTTTTGAAATATTCGGAATATTTAAAATGAGGTAGAAAAACAAATGAAAAACGCAAAAGGGTGTACGAAGTATAAGCAAACGAAAAACTTACCCCGTTAGTATGACCTCCGCGTAGCTGCAAGCCTGGGCGGACCAGCTACCCCCGTTGATGGGCCAATCCATTTCGGAATAGCCCTGTCGCTTCATGGCGCCGGCCCTCCCCCACCGAGTAGAACGCGGGTATGAGGTCCGCCGGACAGTCGGCTAAGTACGTGCAGCACGTCACCGGAGACTCGTGCAAGTCCATCGGATAAGGATTCTCCAAACAGGGGAAGCCAGGAGTTTGGAGGTCCATTACGACCAAATCGTTTTGGAGGAGGGCTATTATCGCGTAGGGTTCTTGCATGTCTGGAAGAGAGGTAATTTTACATTGAAAAACTCGAAAATACAGGGCAAAAGGAAAAAAGTATTTTCCAAAAAAAGTCCTTGATTTTTCGTAGCCCAATGTGGAACATACAAGCACAATACACAAAGATGTCTTCTAAAAATGAAGATGGTGTAATTAAGACAAGATCCAGAATATTCTACCACGCTGTGGGCCTTAATGGAATAACAGTAGTGATATCTCAAGTCAATATTATAGTCCCGACGATACCAAGATCACCTTTTGATCATTTGGGACTCCATGACAAGTAGAATTCTGCTAGATAACGAATGTGAAAGCTTTAGATCGATTTATTTATATCATCAAACATCAAAACTTCTAACGTCTAGGAAATACAACACATATGAGATGTGTTTAGATTCGAAGGAGAGACGACCAAGGAAAATGAGAGCTATTTTCACATTATAAAAAATATTTTTTATGTAACTTTGAACGAGGAATCATGTTAAAGATACTACCCACTCAATATTTTCCCTGTTACTTTTGATGAAGAAATCGAATGAAAAACAAAACCATGTGCTATCTTTTATTATCTCCTCCTAATTAAAATGATTTCAGACTGTCGAGACTAAACCCTTTGAACCTATCTCCATAAATAGTTAGATGGTTATATTTTTTAATTCAGAATCGAATGAGATTCAAATTAAGAATCTAGAAATAGACGACATAACAATAGATGAAATTCGAAAAACTTTACAAGATTCAAAACATGGATAAACATTAGGGCCTGGAAACATTCCTATTGAACTAGTGAAAAATGGACCAGTGATCCTACACGAAACAATAACCAACCTAATTAATAAATGGGGACACAATCCAAAACCGTTTACGACTACAAAAGGCAAGGGTGCAGCTTATCACCAACTTTATTTAAGATATACATTCAAGAAGCACTAAGCAGTTGGAGCAGTTGGAGATCAAAAATTGTGAGAATGTGAATCGAGGTAGAACAACTCAATTTTTCGCTGATAGCGGGTGATGAGGACGATGCAGACTATATGCTAGGAAAATTGGAAGACGAATATACAAAATGGGGTTTAAATATGAAAAAAACGGAACACCTACCGGTTGGCAGCAAAAATGAAGACCCTGAACTTTATATAAATAGAGTAAAAAAATGTAAACAGTATAAATATCTAGGAAGCATAATTTCAGAATACGGAACAACAAAAGAAGACATAAAAAACAGACTGCAACAAGGAAAAAAAGCTGCAAGAATTTTAAACTAATTGTTTTGGTCAGAAAAAATAAGGTTAAATACAAAATTGACAATCTACAAAGTTATAGTAGAGCCCATTCAAACGTATGGATGTGAGTGCTGGTAATTGACGGAAGACGGGAAAAACAAATTGATACTATTGAAATGGACTAACTGACAAGATCCTGCAGGATATCTAAAACACAACATATAGGAAATGAAAACATACGACGAAGAACAGGGCGAGTATATACGACTGTAGAGAGAATACAGACAACACAATTACTGTGGTACCGACATGTGATGAGAGTGGAGCAGGACAGGTGGTCGAAAAAAGCACTACTGTACCAACCGCTAAATAGAAGAAGAGGAAGACCCCTAAGGACCTGGAAGGAAAGGATAGAACAGAAAATGTCAGACAGAGCTATTCAGGAAGACGAGAGTAGAATCGAATGAGGCCTTCAGATATGGGTTCTTTAAATCAAAAATCAAGATGGTGCCCTTTTTTCACGACGCTCATAATGTCAGCGTTTTATATGAATCCATAAAAGTTAGAGTTGAGTAAGGTAAGTTAGAGTAGGAACTCTTGATTTGCAAGCTTTTTTTGAACGGAAGTCCACCGTCCATCGTCCACCGGCGAAATCTCGAGATCCTGAATACGGAGGACGATCAAGTTGCGTATTTCTACTACTGGAAAATATATTATTGATTTAACCACGGCGAAATGTGTTGGTGAACTATTGTCATTAGTATGTAGGTCTGTACCTACTTACCATGATTTGCACAAGGACAGTAAGAACACACACACACACACACACACACACACAGATTTCAGCATGTTTAGACAAATAAAAAACTATAAAACTATAGTTTTAAGTTAGAGTAGGGAATCTATAATTTCGAATACGTTAAAAAAAAGTTTTTACAAAGCCGGTTGAACGGTAGATGGTTGTGCACTTACCGCTCGCATAAGGAGATTCGCATAACGTAACGAAATCTACAACGTTGTGCTCCATTTCTAACACGGTGGTGGTTTTACTATATACAACGGTTACGCTGGGCGTTCTACCGGCTTGGTCGTAAGGCATCCCGCCCGAAAATATCACATACGATTCCCTAGAAGAGAGAGAGAGAGAGAGAGCGAGAGATTAGAAAAATCGGTCGGGCATCTATGTTGCTATCTTACCCTGATCTGTTACTCTTCCATTCTATCTTATGTATAGGTTTGCACTGTTCGGGTTTACCGTCTTTATTCAGCTTCGCTGAAATTTAAACGTTAAATACGGTTAATACGAAAATTTGTTGCTTTGTCGACTTAATCATTCTTATCAAAACAAACTAATGCTTTTCAAAAAAACTATTAAAATATTGCACTGAAAAAAAACAATGGTATGAGATGCGACCGGAAAGTATTCACTCTCATGTTAGAGATAAAGGAAAAATTACTTATATTTTACGATACAAAATATTGTGTGTACCTTAACCGCAGACCTTGGCTGGACCCATCCCAACAGATGTTTATTCTGCATTAAGTAGGTCTTGCCTGAGATGGACCGTAACAAATATTTGTAGAATCTTAAAATTTTTATTTGAAACGCAAACGGACCGCTTTAAATTTGATTAAGCATTGATGCTGCGGGTTATTTTCGAATAAGTAGAAGCATTTATTTTAACATCGGGTGATATGTATCGTTCTTAAGGATTCAATCTAAATTGCAATATGTTCGTATATATTACGGAGGTATTTGATTGATGATCTATTCTTAACACCTTTCACGGGTGTTGACGTTCGATGCATTATTTCGTCAGTTACGAAAAAAGATTCAGCTGGTTGCGATGAAATTAATAAGACACAAGAAGAACAATACCCATTTAATTTCTAATCACCGTGGAATATCACTTCAATCGGATTTTTCCAAAATATTCGCAAAGTGTTTTTACGTGTGGCTCGATGCATTTCTAAAGAAGGAGCAATTTTTCTCGAATTCTCAGTTTGGTTTTCGCAATGGATTATCTACTCAACACTGTTTAGTTTCCTTATGTAATCAAATACTCTTGAACCTGGATCAGAATAATAAAACATTATGTATCTTCTTTGAGTTTAAGCGAGCTTTAATGTGCTTGATATTAATTTGTTGTTGAATAAGTTAAATAATTGCGGTATACGGGGGAATAGTTACGCCTGGATTGCCAGACAATTATGTTTCCTTATATGCAGATGATACTGCTATGGCAGTGACAGTAATTTGTCCTGGATAGGCCAAATTGAGTACGTATTAAGCAAAATGGTTATGAATATTTTTGTTATTTGGTGACTGCGGTCGGGTGTGGATCCTCAGCTTTTATTATTGTATTATTTCGGATATGTTCAATCTTGCTTATCTTACGCTATTATATGCTGGAGAAACTCTTCCAGAGCTAGTGAAGTTTTTGTCCAACAAAAACGTATTGTTCGAACAATGTCTGGGAAGTCTCGTGGTCACTCTTGTAGAACCCTGTTCCCAAAATTAAATATTTCAACGTTTCCCTCTCTCGTTATATTAAATAGCATAATTTACATAAAGAGTAATCTATCTAATTATTGCACTACCAGAATTCAAGGAGATTACAATTTTAGAGCTAATCTTAATTTGCAGGTGCCAAGTCATAAGTTAGCCAAAGTACCAATACCAATAAAACTATATAATAAGTTGCCTTTGTCGGTCAGAGAAATATGGCCTGTCCATTTATTTAAGCACAAATTAAAGCTAATTTTGAATAAGAACGTTTCTTATTCTATCGAAAAATACTTTGATTGTAGTAATGCCGATCTCTCAGTGTGATATACTTTGACGTATCTGTTTTTAAGGTTTGTATTTTAATGTTCTAATGCATTTTTTTTACTTGTTGACATTATCCGACTTTTGTTAAAAGTCAATGGAAATAAACACTGTTATTATTATTATTATCCTTCCAGTAAATACGCATTTAAGACTCTGCAAGGCTGTTTTCACTGGATAGTTCAAAGGCTAAAGGTAAGTACCTGTACTCCATTTATCTTACAGGTAAGTTTGAAAATAATTATTTTGGTCTTGTGTGCCTGTCGATTAACAACATTCTTCTTCTTGTATTTTTGTGTCTTCTACATAGTTCTTCGATTTGTAAACAACAACAACAGTCGTTTTTAAGACTATAGATTATAATCGCTTTTAGTTACAGGTACGTCCTAAGACTACAGGTAAATATTTATTAAAATCTTACAATTCAACATTTTTTGAAGGATCCTGTTTTTTAACAGTTTAAAATGTGGAGACCGTAGAATGAAGCAGATCTTCCCCTGTTAAAAGAAGACATGGAAAACAACGCGGAATTTGAAAACGAAATGGAGATGGTAGTCGAACCTAATGACGAACTACCTCAGAAAATAAAAAAAAAATAAAAAATATCCATTTGCCTTCGCATGCGGGCAGTAATAAAAAGTAGCCAAAGGTAATGACGGAGTTGTTTGTAAAAGCACTATAATTCTTGCCCAAATATACTACAAACTACAAGGGCTCGGATCACTAAGGCTCTTATTTATATGCAAAGAAATTGATCGAAAAGTGGAACGTAAATGAAGTCATTTTTATTGATCTACACAATATTAAAACCTATTTACGAGCTTTTCAAACATATTGACTTCTATCATAAGTTATAAAGTTAAAGGTTCAATAGTTCTTTCTGCTGAAAATTCTCCACTCAATACTTTTTATGCATTAGTTAAAATTTTTAGCTAACACTTCACTTTCTTTGATTTTAACATTTCTATAATATAATTGCGAAATTGTATTCTTTTGCAATTATTGTTAATAAAAATTAAAATTTGGCTTAAGTCTAGATTAAGATAAATTCGATTTGCTTCTTCAATTTTTTATTATATACTATTTGAGGGGGGCGAAGCTAAAAAAGGGGATGAACATTGACTGGTTTGGTTGCCTATAAATTTCTATGAATTATAGGAGTTTCTTTGGTAAAAGAAACAAGACGAAAAATATTAAGTAGCTCAAAAGCAAATAAAAGAGCTTTAAGACTACGAAAAATGAACTAATCAGGATTTGCCGAAAAAGCTGAGAATCTATAGAAATCTATAAGCAACCAAACAATCTTGATGGCGGTTCAGGACTTTCCTTCCTTTTACCAATATGTGAATCAGTCATCAGAGACAATGTTCATCCACCTCCTTTTGCTCCGCCTCCCTCAAACAGTATATAAGCAAGTACAGGATGATTGGCGAAAGGACAGCAAGTTTGATTTATCCACAATTAAAGCAGGAGGAAACCACAAGATTTTTTGTAGGACTGCGTTCACCTGATTAATATAAAAAAATCAAGACGCTTCAAGCATGGTCCCTCACCGCGTTACTTCTGGTTTTGGAGGCAAGGGGACATTAGAAAATGCTTTCTTATATGTTTGCTTTAATAAATACTTTTTTCATATAGTTAATTAAATCGCTAGACAGTGGGGACTGATTCCTTATTTCCTAGGCGATCCTAGTGACTCCACGAGTAAAACAAGTGCAGCGAATTAATTTAAGTTAAAATGTGTTGGTCAAAGTTCCCTCAATGAATCTACAACTAAGAACTAAGAAAACTTTTCAGCAAGAATACCTACTAATAAAGTTTGCCACATATCCTCCTCAAACAGCTGCCGTTTCATTAATAACTATAAAAATTAAATTATTTTTGAATTGTTTCTGTATAAGATTTATCTATATCTACATTTATGATACTTTTTAAGGCAACTTCTGATGCGAGCAGTGCCTTACACAAATAGAATCTAAAGGTGTCAGAATTGGCTGACAATACCCAACGAATAGATGCCTGCAGTAAATTTTGCGAATTTCGTTTCTTGCAATTCTAGTCTATTTCGTACTTTTTAGAATTTGAGATTGAATAAATGGTTATTTTATGCAATATTTAAAAGAATATATTTTTTTTAATTGTCAAACAGTGCTTACCACTTTACCACAAGATTTACAAAAAAACAATCCACTATCCAAGCAAATTTCCGCATCCACTTCAATATTTTTGAACACATTTCGAACTCAAACTCTTAAACTCTTTCACAGATTTTGCACCGGCAAATAATGGGACTAACGACTTTTAGGGAAACCCGGAAGTTCTAATTACTAATTGATAAGTCACATAAGCCTAAGTATGAGAGTGTTAAAAAAAATCACGAACCAAAAATTAACAATACGTAGCATCGACCTTACCGTGAGGTTGTGAAATGTGAACGTATTTTTGATTGTTCTTCAAACTCCAAGTGGTCAGGGTGCCGTCGGTGTGTGAACACATGAACTGTTTGCCCTCGTAGTGCCAAGCGATCGACCTCAGCTCGCCGGTCAGCCACCGCATATCGGTGCTACGGTTTCGCAAGTCCCAAAGGACTATTTGGCCACTTTCGTATCCTATTAATAACTGGAAAAGTCGAATAGGGGTGATCACTTCGAAAGAGTCGACGAACGTATAAAATAAACGCAACATTTTCAAGTCGAACCTAAAAGACTTTTCCCTCTATGTTGTAAACCATCTCTAAAATCTTTTTTCGAATTTTTCAGTCGGTTTAAGTGTTGCCTGTCCAATTTCTTTGTCGTTCACTCTACGTTTAAACGCTATTTATAGTAGAAGATAATACATTATAATTTAATATTTCGCTGAAATGAAACTGTTTTTTTTGAGATATGACACTATATTATATAATTGCAGGGGTTAATTGGGCCCCTAATTATAAAAGGTAAAGTCTGAAAAATATCCATCTGGATATAAATATTTTTCAAAAAGTCAATTGTTTCAAATTAAACAGCCTATATAAGAGTATGCTATCTCTCGAGGTTTAACATGTTTAATCCAATGCAATAAAAATCATCTATCGACTTTCGCTGCTTAAAGATATTGGTGTGCAAAAAAGTGGTTTACTTGCGTAAAACTATCCAAAGCACATGTATAAAGTTTCAATAAGTTCAGTAATATCAAATATGCAATACAATTCCTGTATTTGAAGAAACCGAAAGGCTAGAAAAATTCCATTCCAGTTCATAAAAAGATAGAATTGAAAAAACTGCATCTATTTTTAGATAACTAAAAAACTCTCCAAAAACATCGCGAATCACACTGGAAAGGATTGCGAATTTGACAAAAGGAAAGTGTTGAGGTTTCACATTTCTTATTATCGGTTTGACTTGAATTTGGCAAATGAAATTTAGCATATCAAATAACTTTCTGTTCCGTTTGAGTATGATTACGTCAAGTGGACCCCCCATATACGACATGATCATAAAAAAATAATCTTTATATATTTTTTATAGGTGCTTATGATGGAAAATTTGATCCCTCAAACGATTTCTTAAAGTTTTGATTTTAACATTTTTTTTATAAAGAAACTTTTAAGCACGTTTAATTAAAAAATGGATTAAAAATCAACCGCAAGCGATAAATCTATGAAATTTTCAGCATCTATGGTCAAATGTCTATACTTATTGATGGCAGCGCGCCGGGCGCCAAGCGCGGTGGAGGCGCCGCGCTGCCGAGCGTCTCGAACTGCATTGAAGGTTATATCAGTGATAATTTAAAATAACAATAGAAATATTATTATAAAAATTATTTTATTATTATTTATGTTATTTTATTATAATTATTATTACTATTTTTTTTTAATAATTATTTTAAATAATAAAACAAACAAGCTTAAATAATTTAATTGTATATTTGTCGTGTTATTTTTATTCATTTATTTTTTAATATATTTTTTTAAATAAATACTTTTTCATCCTCTGAAACGAGCCTGCATTCTAGTGAAAAAATTTCCAATGGTTTGTAATAATGAAATTGGCGAGTATTTTTTATTGTAGTTAAGCGTTCGAATCGTGGTTGGTATTTTTTTAAAAAGAACTTTGGTTCTACTGAAAAAAGGAAAGTGGGGTTGTTATATGGTTATTTTTATCACGTTGGAGATTAGCACGATAAGCTTGTCTTTTTACACTTCCTGCTAAGCCATCACACGCTCCTTTGCCATGAGATGTAGCGAAAAAAGTCCAATCAGCATCAACACCAAAATTTTTGTTTATGATTAACTAAATTGGCAAAAATATATTTAAATAGTGATTAAAACTAATTTTTTAATCACATAATTTCATAATTCACTCGGCCCATTTTAAATCGCAGAAAATATTATTATTACAATTAAAAATTATAATACTAAAATATTAACTAAAAAAACACAACCCAACAACACTTCAGCTTTTATTTTTAATAATTATTTCGTGCTTTGCGTATAAACCTATGTCACGAATAGACAGGAATGACTTCTAAAATGATTTTGTTATTTACTAGGATACGCGAAAAAACAATGAAAATCGAAAGGGACCGGTTTCTCTTTTGTTAACTAAAGATGTTGATGATGAGTGTTGACTAGTAAATTTAAATATAACAATTTACTAAATTACCTAGAAAAAATAAATAGAGACCATAACAGTATTAAAAATTTAAAGTTGGTTATTTTTTTCTAAATTTACACTGTTTGGTAAAAATATAAATAAAAATTGATAGCATTGTTTATAATATTATTAAAAAAAATAAAATTTTGTTAATAATAATTATAACAAAATAACATAAATAATAATAAAATTTGTTTTATAATAATATTTTATATTATTATTTTAAATTATCTCTGATAAAACCTTCAATGCAGTTCGAGATGCTCGGCAGCGCGGCGCTTCCACAACGCTCGGTGCCCGGCGCGCTGTCATAAATAAATTCATTTTGTTTATACTAATGACGAGCAATGAAATTTTCTTCCGGAATCTTAACATTAAATGGATAAAGCATGTGACCGATAAAAAAACAGGATTTTTTTTACCAAGAAATCAGTTAAATTTCATTTGTTAACTTAAAAGTTAGTTAATAATACGAAAATAAACAAATAATTTTAGGTAGTTAATATATTCTTTACGTATAGGCATTTGACCATGGATGCTGAAAATTTCAGAAATTTATCTCTTACTGTTGATTTTTAATCCATTTTTTAATTAAAAGTGCTTAAAATTTTCATTATAAAAAAATGTTGGTAAAATCAAAATTTTAAAAAATCGTTTGGGTGATCAATTTTCCAGCATAAGTACTTATAAAAAATATATATATAGATTAAATTTTTATGATCAAGTGGTAAATGGGGGGTCCACTTGACGTGATCTCACTCATTTAGCAAGTTTAACATCCTTTAACGAAATTTTAAATAACCACCCCTAATAAATCACTCAAGACTTAAAACTCGATTGAGTTATAAAAACCAACGGAAGCTTTTGAAGACACAAATACTACAACACAAACCGAGAGGTACTTACTTTACTAGCGTCTAATGGATTATCACTTAAATGGACAATTGCTCCGGGGTGTGTTTTTCTGGTGCTGAAACAACGACATACGACGTCGGTATAAAAAGCTTAGCGCACGACCTTACTCACAGTTCGATAGTTTTGTTCCAGTTGATCACGTAACCGGAAAGGGAAAAACTCTCGATTTGTACTATGTGAACGTTGCCCTTTTCCGTGCCCACGTACAACCATTTCGACTGCAGGGGTAGATTCATGCAAGTGATCCTGAAAACGATGTCGTTATTGATAACGATATTCGATAGACGCCCGTCTGATGCTCGCTCACTTCTCCTTTTGGAACTTCAAACTTTGCACTATCTGCGGCACCTTTTGCCTAAAGTTCCACAAGTGTAATGTGTCGTCGGCCGTCGCCGATATCAAGGCACCTTCGTTAACGAGAAATTGGAGATGGAGAACAGCCGCGGACCCCGGGGGGCCTTCCATGTCGTGCCGCATGTGAACGTCGACCCCTGGCTGACCCAAACTACTCTTACGGTTAAGGAATGTTGATAATAATCACAATAGTCATCCGTTACAAACCATCCAGTCCACAGGGCGAGCTGATTCTTTCAGAATAATAATAATAATAATAATAATACACAATAACGCGTTTTACCACAAACCGAAACTCAATTTTACGTACTCGACGCGTTATTGTGTGTTAGTGCAGTACCGAAGGTTCCAATCAAGAGTTTGATAATAATAATAATAATAATAATAATAATAATAATAATAATAAAAATCAAGCTCTTCGCCGATTCCAGAAACATCTAGAGGATTTACTTATATGTTTTGGTCAGTTCAGCAACGATATCAAGTTGAGATTCGGGCTGAGTAAGTGTAAGATGAGCTCTATTGAAAAGGGCAAAGTTGTACAGCGTGAAGGGTTTGAGGCAGGATCGCAGGGCCTTATTCCCAGCATGGAGGAGACGGAAAGATACAAGTATCTTGGGTATGCGCAGGCTTTGGGAATAGATGATCACGACTCTCTGCTAAAAACACGTCTGGACGGAGACAGAATTGAGGGAGATCGACGTCATCACGAGGACAGAATGCCGTAAGAACTGCGAGTAATATCCTTCAACCAGTCCGGACTGACCCAATAACAATAACGCTTATTTATGCTATTTGTAATACATATTTGTAGCCGTAGGCTGTTCTTGTTGGTTGTTCAATACTTTTTAAGTTATTTTGGTGCCCTTTTTCCGAAAATAAATATTTTTTAAAACAAAGTTTACTGGATCAAAATTATAATTCGCGTACACCACCCAAGATCCAGTTTGGAGAGATTGCACCTACCTCGGTCGCAGGGAGAGAGAGCTATAATAAGCGCCCACACTTCGCACTGTAGGTAAGTTGATAGCCTCAGAAAAGATTCACCGTGGGATTATTCGTACTGATCGACGTGTGACCCCGCTTAATTTAGCGGATAGTGTATTCGACCCGTCCTCGACAATGACAACCGTAGCCCAGTCTAAGGCAAACTGGACAGGAAAAGCGCTACATGGTCGGTACCTAGCGACGATTGAGGGTGACCGGATGAATACCGTCGCCTCCGCGGTTTTTCTGCGTTCGGGCGGTTTGTTCCCCGAGACTGACGGATTTATCTTGGCTATCCAGGATCAGGTCATGGCTAAAAGATCATACAGAAGCCGAATACTTACAAAAAATGTGGAAAGTGTGGTGTGCCGTATTTGCAGAAATGTAAAGGAAAGTTTGGACCATTTAATGGCAGGATGTGAAGTATTAGCTCATAAGGCTTACTTCGACAGACACAACCAAGTAGCTAAGATAGTCCACCAAGAGATCAGAGTGCAGTACATGGGACTAAAAGATACGGTACCGTACTACCTGTATCAGCCCCCAACCCTTTGCGAAAACGAGAGCGTAAAAGTATATTGGAATAAACCCATTCTCATGGATCGCCATATACCAATAAACATCTCGGATATAGTCTTCGAATTAAAAGATAAAAAAAAGCTTCCATCATAGACGTGGTTATACCACCGCCTAGCAACATATCGAGGAAGTATACTGAGAAAGTCAATAAATACTTGCCACTAGCGGATGAAAAAAATGTGGAGGCTACAGTCAGTGCGAATAATACTCATTGTTGTCGGGGTGACGGGCAAGATCTCAAAAAGCTTACGCGAAGGACTTCCCCTGAGTTTGGGAAACCAAACCCTATGCAAAAGGCAGTGCTTCTTGGCACATGCAGAATAGTGTGCAAGGTTCTTGGACAAATCTGAAACCGAAAGTGGTTGCCCAAGTTCAGCCGTCTTGTCTAATGACCGATGTTGAACATGTAATATATGCTTTATTTGTGAAACAAAAAAGACAATCTAATTTCAATTTTGACAAGAAGGACCCACTCTGCCTTATAATAACCGTTCATTAATACCATTCTAAAAGAAAAATGTCAGTGGAAGGGCGCAAATATATTGCATGACTAGTAATTGAAGAGAGAAAAAATACGTTGTGGTGAGTAAAAAAAAACTCAATTTGTAACTGCTCCAAACATGACTGAAGGGGAGTTTGCCCCAAGGAAGAAAAAGTCGACTCAAATCCAAATCGACGGCGAAGTTGCCATATTAATTTAAACATTACAAGAATGATAAATAAAAATAGCTATTGAATACTTAAATTAATTCTTCTAAAAGTAGATTTAGTTCTGTAAATAATTTAGATTCAATTGATTTTGTGTACGCAGATACACATAATTAGTGATTATGTGACTGGTAAGACTATTCCACATCTTTATTGCCACATAAGTAAATGATCTCTGAAATGCTGACGCCGAGGAACAATGTAGCTAGGTTATTTTTTGTTCTTTGGGAATATGAAAGAATTTGGAACATCTCATTAAGATAAGTCGGTTTACTTGATTAACAGACCTGTACATATGCAGTTTCCATCGATTACCCATGTTTAAAATATTCAATTATTCAATATATGACTACGATAGGTATGTTACAAACAAAACATACAAGAGTTGTGCAATTTTTGTATTAACCTTTTAGTTTGCCAAGACAGACACTATCCATATGCCACATCTGCGTAATTAAACAATGAAACAACTAATGCGTAGCGGAGAAAATATTTTTCATTAGGATTTAAAAATTGCTTCAATCTGTAATTTTTCCTAAGGCGTATGTACTGGCTTATTTTTTTAAGGTGCAAATCAAATGATAAGAATTATCAAAAGGCAAACCTAATTTTTTTGCTGAAATAATATTATTTTCAATCACAACGTAAATTCTTCGTTCAATGCTTTCTCGGATGTCCTTGTTGTTATTGATGATAATAATCTGATATTTTTGAGGTTTAAGTTTTAGGTTGTGATTTGTTCCAAATAAGTTCAAGTTGTTAACTGAGAGATTAAATTATTGGTGTACTTCTACGATGGATTGGATAATGATTCCTAAATGATTGGCGAAACGTTATCTAGTTCGACTCAACAACAACCAACACAGAAATTGCTGACCCCTGTGGAACACCTTGTTTAATCAACTTAAATTTGGAAGTTGGTATTAAGGAGTTTATTTTTGTACTTTTTGTAATTACAACTCGACCGTATTTAATGTCTTTCTGAATGTCTTTCATAAGATTTAAAGAATTACTGAATTATTACTCAGTGTCAAACGCATTACTCAAACAGAGCTACTATATAAGTACGATTTCCCATTCCTCATTATACTTCACATCATTTGCTAAGCCAACTAGTACTGGGTGTTTTCTAAATTCTAATTGCCAATCCGATATAAGATGATTTTTATATCTTGAATTGAGATTCCATCTTCTTCAATATCGGTGATATACTGTTGTTAAAACTTAAAAGATCGAGCTCAACTGTCAGTCGCTTGAAAAAAATTATGGATATCGGTGCACTTCTGCACATATCGGTGCACACATCGAACTTCTTTGTAACAGATTGTCCTGCTGAGGCGTCTTAAATCCTTTGCCCCAACGATGATGCTGAGGATGGCTTATTTTGGCATTATTTCATTCTTTGCTGTCGTACGCAGTTCTAAACTGGGGAGGGTCTGTCTATGCAGCCAAAGCTTTCCGGATGCAAAAGAAAACTATATGGATCAACACCTCTGGCACATTGTCGCTCTATCTTCAAGAGGCTAAAAATCATGACACTTCCCAGTCTGTTCATTTACCGCGCACTGACCCACGTCCATGAAAATATACATGCTTTTGAAAGACATTCTGACAGACACGCACACAACACCAGACAGGCAGACCTCATCGTACCATACTATTCCAGACTGAAGACCTCGGCAAGGAATAAGCCTCGCACCGACTTGTACAATGTTCTTCCTCAGAGACTTATCACAGTCTAAATTGTCCAGAGAAGTTAGGATTTTTCAATTACAGAATACACCCTTTCGGCCAAACACGAGTTTTAGATCAACATATGTTTTTTTATCTATATTTACACTTTCTGTTAAATTTTAGATTCCATCGTTTTTACACTTTATAATTTATGTATTGTATCTTTATATTGTATGTCTGTTGTATATTTTGTCATATTGCTTCACGCATGGCATTTTTCTATTTTTCTGTCTTAAGACTCTGTTTATATGATTTATTTATCCACAACCACAAGTTGTCAGCGTAAATCTATCTTTTTTTCATTTCTACTACTGACCCGCCATTTGTTGTAAAAAATGGCTAAATAAATCTATCTATTATCTATCGATCTGGAGCTCTCCTGGAAGCGGTAAGCAATTTTCATTTTTCGATATACAGGGTGACTCAGAGTAAATTTCCCTTTTTAACATGTTATAAAAACGGAATAAAAAGTGTTGGCATAATTTTAATAATAAATTTTGAAAGTACAGAAATGCGGATTTTATTTTTTAAACACAATGTTGTCCAAATGTCGACCATCCCTTAGATAACACTCCTCCAATGATGCTCTTAAATGTTGAAAGACCCGCTGACACATTTCAATAGGAATGTCGGCAATAGCCTCTCGAATGTAACGTCTTAACTGCTCCGTAGTGGCTGGTGGATCAGTGTAGACGATACTCTTCAAATATCCCCACAAAAAAAATCTAGGGGCGTAAGATCGGACGATCTTGGAGGAAAAGAGATGTCCCCAAATTTTGAAGTAACATTTCCTGGAAACAATTCACGTACAGCGTCCATTGATACTGCTGCTGTGTGTGCTGTCGCCCTATCTTGTTGAAACCAGGTCAAATTGGGGTTATAGCCAGGAAAGTTTTGAAGAGCTGGAGTCAAAAATTGGTGGAGCATTGCAGTGTACCTTTGACTTGTTACCGCTACAGAGCGACCATGGGCAACTTCAAAAAAGTAGGGCCCAATTATTCCAGTAGCTGACATGGCACACCAAACTGTTACCTTCTTGGAATGCAATTGTTTTTCATTCTTTTCTTTGGGGTTGTCGGGGCTCCAAAAGCGACAGTTTTGTTTGTTAACATACCCCTCCAGATGGAAGTGAGCCTCATCACT